TGGAGTTCTGGAAGCATGCGGGTCGTGGTGCGTGGGTTTGGTTAACCAAACTCTTCAATGTTATCTTCCGGACAGCAAGGATGCCAGATGAGTGGAGGGAGAGTCTCTTGGTCCCCCTGTTTAAAGGCAAAGGTGACATCCAGAGCTGCGAGAATTACAGAGGCATCAAACTGCTTAGCCACACCATGAAGGTTTGGGAGCGAGTCATTGAGTATAGGGTGCGGAAAGGGGTATGCATCTCTGAGAACCAGTTTGGTTTCATGCCTGGCAGATCAAGTACAGAGGCCATTCACCTCGTGAGGAGGTTAATGGAAGAGTATAGGGCTAGGAAGAAGGACCTTCATATGGTGTTCATTGATCTCGAGAAGGCATACGATAGGGTGCCAAGGGAGGTCTTATGGAGGTGCCTTGAGACGAGAGGAGTTCCCATCGCGTATACTCGCGCGATCAAGGATATGTACGATGGAGCTATGACTAGGGTAAGGACCTTCAGGGGCGACTCTGAGTCATTCTCGGTAGGGATGGGGTTGCACCAGGGGTCTGCCCTTAGCCCTTTTTTGTTCGCCTTGGTGATGGACGTCCTAACTCAAGGTGTGCAAGAAGGGGTCCCATGGTGCATGCTTTTCGCGGATGATATTGTGCTTATCGACGATACACGTGAGGGACTAAACGATAAGTTGGAACAATGGCGCCTTGCCCTTGAGACTAAAGGGTTCATAATAAGTAGGAACAAGACTGAATACATGGAGTGTCGTTTCAGCGGCAGAGAAACAGAATCAGAGGTGGAAGTTAGGATTGACTCTCACCTAGTACCTAAGGTAGACAAGTTTCGATATCTTGGCTCGGTAATCCAGGCTGATGGGGAGTCAGACGGGGATGTTGGACATCGTGTTGGAGTGGCTTGGGCCAAATGGCGGTTGGCTTCAGGGGTATTGTGTGACCCGAAGATTTCGCCCAGGATGAAAGGCAAGTTCTACCGATCCGTAGTCAGACCTGCTATGTTATATGGGGCAGAGTGTTAGGCGGTTAAGAAGACTCATGTGCGTCGTCTGCATGCGGCGGAGATGCAGATGTTACGATGGATGTGTGGGAAGACAAGGTTGGATAGGATTTCGAACGAAGTTATCCGACGTCAGGTAGGCATGGCGCCGATGGAAGATAAATTGTGGGAAGCGAGGTTGAGATGGTTTGGTCATGTGAGACGGCGGGATGCTGACGCCCCTGTACGGAGATGCAAGCGGATTACGGTTTTCGGGGGAAGTAGGGGAAGGGGTAGACCTAAGAAGAATTGGGAGGAAGTGATTAGACAGGATTTAGGACTTCTCACCCTGACTGAGGATATGGCTTTAGATAGGAACCTTTGGAGAACTAGGATTAGAGTAGCTAGTTAGGAACTCGGTGCTATAGAGGTTTTTTGTAGTGTATTGTGTTTGATTGGAATCTTTTATTAATGCTTGTAGAACTTTCTTTTCATTGTACTTGGTGTTTTATCCATGCTATACTGTATACCCTATCATATTTTTTGTGCAGGTTGAGCCGGGGGTCTCTTGGAAACAGCCTCCCTGCTTCCAAGTAGGGGCAAGGTCTGCGTACACACACCCTCCCCAGACTCTACTGTAGTGGGATCCAACTGGGTTGTTGTTGTTTGTTGTTACATTATTTTAGCTTGATTATATTAGATAAATATTTACACCTCTTAGATAAAATGTCTTCCCCGCCTAGAAATAAATTTTAATATTTGTATTGTCACCTAATACAATTTTTTTAAATCCTTTAACTAATAAATAAGATAATTTTAAGATAATATTATTTCATAATTTAATACTCCGTAACTTTTACTATCTTCATTTATAATAGGAAAAATTACCCAAAATAATCCCAACTTTACTCGGTTTTTCAAAAATAATCCCACCTTTCACTGGGATGCATAATAATCCCAACTTTACTGAAATTTGCCAGTTTTGGGTCGTCGTTAAGTTTCTAACGGAGGGATAACGGAAATGCCCGTTTTAGGCAACAAAATGAAAGTTGGGATTATTTTTGATGAATTTTTGTTTTTTAATTTTTTTTTGAAATTTTTATTTAAATTTTTTGAATTACTTTCAACCTTCATTTCTTTTTCTTTTTTAAAGATTATTCTTACCTTAGAAAAAAATAGATATAAAAAATAATGAAAAGTATGATTTGCATGTTTACTTTCAACCTTCATTTCATTTCTTTTGCTAGCTAGCATGTTTGATTTGCATTCAGTCTTTTGGGTGATGACTTGTGCTTAAGTATGATGTATTGCTAAGTGCAATATAAGAATACCAAACTGCACGGAAGCACAAATACATTCATCTTCTGATGCGTCTTCTATTTGTGGTCGACTAAGATTTCAAGCATAGAACACAGTCTACGTTTTTTAAAACAAAAGTAAAATTCAAAATAAAAAAAGGATGATTGATTATAGTAAATAAAAGAATGATCAAAACAAAAAGAGTTTCATACCCTCTACTTATGGTATAAGGTAGATTCATAGTATGGTTGCTGTGGAAGGGCAGATTGAAAATGAAGGATAGGGTTAGCAAGTATATGAATATCAACACGAACTGTGAACTATGTGGTAGAGAGACAGAAACGGCAGAGCACCTTTTCTGGCAATGTGAGGAATCTAAATCTTTGGCTGCTTTAGTGATGAAGGACTTCAATATGCAAAGCTATGAGGGATCTGTTGAAGGTTTTGGGAGGGCAGTGCATAAGATACCAGGAGGGAAACAAAGGAAAAAGTGGATTGCTGTATGGGCTACTTGTGTTTATCAAATCTGGAGGTGGAGGAATGCCAAAATGCACCAGNCAACACGAACTGTGAACTATGTGGTAGAGAGACAGAAACGGCAGAGCACCTTTTCTGGCAATGTGAGGAATCTAAATCTTTGGCTGCTTTAGTGATGAAGGACTTCAATATGCAAAGCTATGAGGGATCTGTTGAAGGTTTTGGGAGGGCAGTGCATAAGATACCAGGAGGGAAACAAAGGAAAAAGTGGATTGCTGTATGGGCTACTTGTGTTTATCAAATCTGGAGGTGGAGAAATGCCAAAATGCACCAGCAAAGAGGAGATGCTGGGATGCCTACTCAACAAGCTATAGCTTATATAAGAAACTACTTAGAATATATAAATGTGTTGTAGTATGTAATGAGTGTTTGTAGTTGGAAGTTACATCTGATGTAACCTATCTAGACGGTTGTTTTGGTAATAAAGTGTGTGTTTTTTGTGCAAAAAAAATGTTGGAAATTTAAAGTAAATTGGACTTTTTCGGACATAATAATTTGCGGCTTTTTACCAATATTTCAATTAAAATAAATCTACAAATAGTATGTAGGACTCAAATGTAAGAAAAAAGAAGCCTCCTCGCGTGCATTTAAAAGGAAAAAAAAGAACACATGGAATAACAACACAATTAACAAAAGACCAACCGTGCAACAGTACATGACTTGACAAACTACCTGTGGGATTTCTACTACTACAAAAATAGGTTTTAGTCACGGTCATTTTTTACCTTTAATTTTTGCATCACTTTTTTACCGATGCAAATGCAAATGATGCAATTGCTCCATATAGCAATTGCATTACTCGAAGACGGCATTGGCGATGGCGACTGTGATGGAGATAGCAATAGCGAACGAAACCCGGCGAAGATGAAGAGATCGGGATGGCCAAGAAAAAGGAAAATGCACAAACATAGTAAGAGAGAGCGCAGATCTAAATCAAAATAAAAAGGATGGCATCGGTGGAAACGGAGAACAGATGCATAAATTTTTTTAGCATCGGTCAGTACAGAATGAAGGATTATTCGTGAAATTTTTAAAGTAGAAAGACTATTAAGAACCAACGATATAATTTACAAAAATGTTAGTGATACACCAAAGTGTACCCCAAATGTACACTACCCCCTCCATTACCACATATTTTGACATGTAAAATAAAAAGAAATAAATAAATAAAAAATGAGTGATAATGAAGAGGATGATGTACATTTGAAGTACACTAAAATTGTACCTCTAGCATCGCCTATAACTTAACCAAGAATTGTTTATAAGATAAAGCTATTTGTATCCCAAATTTTTTGTTAACGCACCAAGACTTTGTATCCGTGTAAATTTTTGTTAACGTACCAACACTTGTATCGGTGTAAACCATCAGAATGTTTGTGTATAACTGTGGTGTACAAATGAGATACCATTTTTAGTGTAAGTGTAGCATGATCCTTGTTTATATGATAACATTGTAGATTTGTAGTTAGTTTATTACTCCCTATTCAAATCCTCTCGCAAAAATAGACGAACTTTCAACATTCTTTCATCAATAGTCTAATAAGCAGTTTACAAGTCACCTTCAAGTGATTTGTTCCAGATTATAATTTTATAAATTTATATCTCATAAATTTAACCCCATTTCATTTTTCTTCTTTCTTTTAAGTCTCTCCCTCTTTTCCTCTTTTAAGATCCCCCACTCTCTTTCCCTCTTTTTTTTTTCTTCTTTCTTCCTCTTCCAACTTTTTCATTCTTTCTCATTTCCTTTTTCTCCTTCGATCCACCCTCCCTCCCACCTTTTTCTTTCTTTCTTTTTTCTTACTTCGGGGTATTTTTCATGTTCTTGTTCTTCTTCCTTCTTTTTTCTACATCTTTTTCGATCTAGCCCCCTTCCCCCCAAGTACACCACCCTTTTCTTTTTCTTCTTCTTCCTTTGTTTCGTTTTCTTCATCATCACCATTATTTATTATTATTATTTTTATTATTATTATTATTATTATTATTATTATTACGTGTTCTTTCTTTATTCCCGATGGAGTCTAAAATTTATCATTTTTTGGCTTTGTGGTATGATGGAATAAAACAAAATGAATCTCTAAACTTTTTCAATTCTTTTTTTATTAAATAAAGTAGTAGTTCATCAATCAATGCAACGTTCGTTAATTACACTATATTTTTCAGAGGTCAAAGGATTGAACTGTACTTTATTTGAGAATGAGCATCATTTTATTTGAGAATGCGCATCATTTTATTTAAGAATGAACACTACTACGTTATTCGTAAATGAATATTATAATTATATTGAAAAAATATGTGAAAATGAATAGTTCGTTATTTCAAAATATGTACGTCTACGTTACGTTATTTTAGAATAAGTACTACATTATCTTAAATAAAAACTTATGTTTGCGCGAGAACGAGTACCACCTTACTTCAAAATGAGTTATATCTGGTTGTACCTTATTTCTGGTACAACCAGATATACCATATACGCACTCGAGTGGGGCGGGGATTATAAAATTTAAATTTATAAAGATCTAATTTTGCCTCAAATGATCTGAAGGTGACCTCTAAGCCGCCTATTGGAATATCAATGAAAGAATAATGAAAATTTATGTATTTTTATGGGAGAATTTAGAGTTCGAATAAAAAGTGAAATTACGTCCAAAGTTCATATACCATTCATGAAAATTTACCCATAATGTTGTATTGCTGCTAATCTTTGTGTGTAATTCGGACTAATTCCTCAATCCTCAGGAGAGTCCTTTGTGTGTTTTGGTCAGGATTCCTTTTTTCAAAGTTCAATTACTACGGAGTACTACGTACTACTTTCCTTGAGTATTTTATAGTTAATCATTTTAAGTCTTATAATTAAATACTACATCCGTCACATTGTCTTTGTCCACTTTTGACTTTTGAAACTGTTCATCTAAGAACTTTAATTCATCAGATTCTCTCAATGTGTAAGCCTAAAAATAGTCATGTGTGATCTTGTTTGATTCGTCTTAACATATAGTAGATTATTAATATATAATTTTTATAATTTTTTAATATACAAATTACAAGATAAAATGGATTAAAGAAGTGCATTGGATGGTGTGCCAAAAGGTAAATGGACAAAAACAGTGGGACGGAGGGAGTAAAATATATATTGTTTATTAATTTAATAAAACAATATTTTGAAAATATTTTATCTAATAAAATTATTTTTATATCAACATTAATTAAGCGCGTGTGGGGAGCATTTTTTTACTACATATTAACTTAAAATCTTTATTTTAACCTTTTATTAAAAATTAAAAAAAAAGAAAAACTCAAAAACTTGACTGCAAAAAAAGTTGCATGGAGTGGGTAATCTTGCTGCTTAATACTACGTATATTTGCATGCATCCGTGCATGTTCGGAGAATATTTTTGTTTTACGGAGTATTAATTATGTTAATTACTCCTATTTAAAGAAGTTTAAGTTTGAACTTGTATTTTGAGAATATGACATATGTTTTACTCCTAGTTTAGTTTGTTCCTTCTCCCTTGAAACAATTAGTAATTCTTTTATTAAATTATCAAAAAAGCAATCCAAATTAAATGATATTTAACTTATTATTTCAAATGTCAAATCAATCGAAATAACTCCACATAATTTAAATACAATCCGACACAAATGAGTCACAATACCAATGTTAAATTCGGTAATTTCTTATAGTATTAGCAAGCAAAAGAGAATGTAGCAGTAATATATATATGAAGTATTAGACAATCGACGAAGTCCAAGAGTAACAATGACTTTTTCGTATTTTACTTCCTCCATTCTAAAACTAAATTTCCCTTTTAGTTTACGAGATTTAATTAAAATTATTTTTAATTCAATTTGTTTGAATATGCTTGTAAAATTTAAAAATAAAATTAATATATTAAAAAAATCTACAACAAAAGTGACATGACTACAAGTATATCAAATGCCTAATGAATGAGTACAATTTTACAATAGGTATTAGTTGGGGAATTAATTTTAAGGTGAAGGCAGTAATATCATTTTTTTAACATTTCAATTAAATTACTTAAAACTTAAATGAAACACTTCATTAATACTCTTATGAAATTTAAAAGTAGATAATAATAAAATTTAAAAACACATAATTAAATCAACATTTCAATGAAGTTACTTTTCTTAAACTTTTTTAGCATTTTATTAACCCAAAAAAAAAACTTAAAAAAGTAAAAAGTTAATATAAATAGGACGGTTCTCTAGATACAGATTAAAAATGTCATGAAATGATTGAAAGGCCTTACAATATCCCATACAATTGCTACCTCTAGTACCCCTAGTATTTCCTGCTCCACCTTGACCCGAACCTACCTCCACCCTAATATGAAGTTATGATGTCAGGAGAACTTCTCCCAATATAATTAAGCGCTATGCTATACTCAAAGTGTTTTTATTTTTTATCTTATTGGGTACAAGCTCAAAGTGCCGTAGCCCGTATGTATCAACATGCTTTAAGAAAGAATAAATTTTCAAAAGAGTGCTTTCTAATAAGCAATAATTACAAACATGATTTTTTGTAGTTAAGATTTATTTTCTAAATAATCATCTATATAAAAATATCTATTAAATACGGAGTAATAGTTAAATGAAACATATTTTTACATTTTCCATCACCTTTAATATAAATAAGTCCTCAAAAATATTTTTTTATACTTCCTCTGTCCCTCATAGATCTTCCCATTAGCCCTTTTTATTTGTCTCACATAGATCTTCTCATTACCTTTTTTAACATTTAAAATACCACAACTATCCCCACTTACTTTATTTATTACTCCCTCCGTCCTATATCTTTCTTCCCGGTTCGCAAAACGAAAAAAAATCCCAAGTTTTTCAATCTATTTTATTTAAATATTGGTATAGAAATAATAAATAAAACATACATATTTAAAAACTACATCAAAAGTTCAATAAAACAAGTGGTGACAAGAATATTTTATGTTATCATATAGGCCATGAAAAAACACAAATACATATAAATTCCCGTGAAGTTGGAATAGTGCTCTGGGAAGAAAGTTTTAGGACGGAGGGAGTACATCTTTCTCACCTTATTTAATATGGAGTACACCCCACTCATTTTCATTAAGGGTATTTTGGTAAAATTTTATCTTTTTTCAACTCTCCTTAAAAACCGCAAAAAGTCAAAATGAGAAGATCTAAGAAGGACGGAGGGAGTATAATTCAAACTTTGGTAAATTAACATCCCTATGACTTTCTAGACATATTTAGAAGAGTAAATTTTCTAAATAGTCCTTTATAAATGAGGGATTTTCATATTTAGTCTACATTTATCAAATATTAAGCAGGCAATCCTTATTAATTGGGTACCATTCCACGTTTAGCCCTGCGTGTATTTTTCCATCACCGTGCCATTAGACAATGATGAAACCTGGAATGGTACCCACCCAATCAATAAGGACCACAAAAATAATACTTCGTATTTGATAATATGGACTAAATATGGACTAAAAATTAATAGATAGGAAAAATTACTACCTTCATCCTAGAGTGTTGATCTACCTTAGAGTTTTTTTGTCAAAATTGGTAATTTTTGACCACGAATTAAATAAAATTAATATTACATATTAATAAAAAAATAATTTTATTACATTTATGTAAATAATTTTATTTAAATAAGTCAAATGTTGAAAATAGTTGATTCCAAAAATGTAAAATTGGACAAAATACTCAAAGACGGAGGTAATACTTTAAATATTAAAAATAGTTTTAAAAAAGTAAACTCTCCAAATAGTTCTTTATAACGGAAGAATTTTCATATTTAGTCCATATTATCAAATATTATTTTTGTGGTCCTTATTGATTGGGCACCATTCCACATTTGGTCCTTGTATAACGGCATGGAGACAGAAAAATAGACGGAGGACTAAACGTGGAATGATACCCAATTAATAAGGACTATCAATATAATATTTGATAATTGTGGAGTAAATATGGAAACCCCACATTTTTAAAGGACTATTTAAAGAATTTCCTCTATTTAGAACTATAGAAAGTGCTTTGAATGCTAGAAGAATGGTCCACTCCGAGTACGGTAATGGACTCCAATTCAAGAAGACAATAAAACTTATACTCCGGTAAATAATAGGTATAGAAAAGCATTTAATTATAAAGGAGCATTTCGAAAACATGCTATAAATCAATCTGACATGTAATAGACATTTTTGAAAGAAGACGATTTAGAAAATACATCTGAATTACATAGACCGGCATTGGTAATTATTGGAAAATACCTTATTAGAAAGGACCGTTTTGGGAACTAACTCTAAAAAAAATTTAAAAAAAAAAAGAATAAATAATAATAATAGTAATAAAAAATAGGGCAGTGTTGTTCCCGCGCCTAAGAAACAAATGATACCTTATTGTACAAGTAGTGATTTGAGAATCAAATTAACCTGCAGGTTGTTGTTGGTGGGTGGGTGCCTTGGACTCGCTCCCAGCAGGGGGGGGGGGGGTTGTCTGTTTANCTTACCAGCTTACCCTCCTCCTGGTAATGACAAGCAAGTATCAACCAAATCCCCGCAACCCAACACCTTTTCTCTCTTGTCCAAGCTTCTGCCATGGCCTCTGCTTCCACAAAGAGAGACTTTTTACAACATCCCTCGATGATCAGCTTAGAAAGGTTTAAAGCATCAAGACTAGACAAGTTGCCAGATGCCTCCCACTCCGTCGCTCTCTTCCTCGCCTCGTCCAACTCCCCCGACTCCACCTGTGACTTTATTATATTCTCATAATCCTTATTTACTTCTTGGGTCGGGTTCTCGGAATGCACCAGTAAAGGGACTTTGATTTTGTATTTCGCATTGATTGGAGTGAGTTCTAAGAATGTTTTGCCCGCATCAGTTTTAAGTGATCTACTGCAGCAGAATGACCCACTGCAGCGTAAGGGGAAAAACAAGCCACATTCTTCTTCTATGTATTGGAGAAACGCCCTCTGAACCACTAGAGATCCAAGCGCACGATCCCTTACCACAAAGCAGTAGTCGTAGGCTTTAAACAGATTGCCCACTTTAAGGTATTCGTTGCAAAGTAAACGTGAAAGTTTGTCGACGCCGGTCTTACCCTTGCGATCCCACTCCCAGATTCTATACAATGCCTTTCGTAATGAACCTTTTTTTATGTACCCCTCAATGATTATGTAAGGAATGCTGATATCATCCACAGTGCGCCAATTGCCGAGTGCCTCCCACTCCTTGGCAAACTTCATGGCCTCATCTAGTTCACCAAGCTTCACCAGCGACTTTATCACATTCTCATAATCACTATTTATCAAATTGTGGCTTCCTCTATTCTTCTTCTTCTTCTTTTGTAATATCACCTCCGCCTTTTTAAGAGCATCGGCGGCCTTCTCTACAAAGACTGCTCTTTCATAGAACTGGGCTACCACGGCGTAAGTACACCAGTCCATGACAATGTGGGGTTGACTCTCCATTTCTCTCAGCATTCTCTCCATCCTATCCACATCATAGGTTAACCCAAATGAACTAATGCAGATTCTGTAACTATCATTATCAGGTGAGACCTTGCTCTTCTTCATCTCGGCCATCACCCCAAGGACCTTCTCAATTTGGAGACTTTTGGCGTAAAGGCGCATAATTTCATTGAAAGGGCGAGGCGACGACAGAAAACCCAACTCTTTCATCTTCTGAAAATGAAATAAAGCCTTCTCTGCTCTGTGTGCATGCACATAACAATGTAGGAGTTCTCTGTATGCCGTGTCATTTCTAGCTTGTTCTGGCAAGTTCTTGACATAGCGCTCTGCAGCAGAACATCCCCGAACCTTACCAATCAAGTTGATCTGGCAAGCATGGTCCCGAGATGAGAATCTAAAATAACCTTTCTCCCCCATCCATTCAGAAATCTGCAACAGGTACACCGTTACACGACAAGGAAAACGCCACTAGAATGCATTTTATATCTTTGCATTGAATCAGACACTGCTTTAAATTAAATATCATTCCATCTACTTCTGATAACTATACCAGAAATTCAGATTGATCGTCAATTAACTGACACTAGCTTCAAACCTAAATTATAACACTACAAGAAAAACTAGATATAAGCACACCAATTAAGGACACTTAAATTTGGAAGTGTCCTTAAACATCTTTTATGACACCTTCATTAATATAAATGCTTAAGTGAAATTGAGGATTTCGAATGACACCTAAAATAATTTTATTCACTCCGTATAACACTATGGGGTAACAGAACAACATATTCTCTCTCTGATCTAGGTTTTCAACCGCTCTCTCTATTACTCGCCGCATTCTCTACGGCTTCAACCCTGTCTCACTCTAATCAATGCTCCTACACCATGGCTGTCAATGGTCGTTGCAGACAACTCTAATTCTGTAGGTCTCACTCCTACATATGTAACTGTCGGATTCTTGGTTCACTTCAATTTCCAGAAAAAGCTTTACAGACATCGATAAGAATGTTCTTCAAAGGTAATTCACCCATTGCTTTTTCCTCCAATGAAATTGTGTTGCTGGCTCAACAATTCGAGTTCTCTATTGTTCGGAAATTTCTTAATGGTAGACCTAATCTGGTCTCCATTTGTAAAGCTTGTAGTTCCGTTGGTTTCCCCTTCCACTTCAATATTAGGTTATTGGATGATCCATATAATTTTTTTAACTTGTTTACACTCGTAAGGGAGACTATTAAACTAATGGAAACTTTTTCATTATAGTTAGTTTTTTTCTGCATATATGGTGTTCTACTGGTTGGTGGTCTTCCTTTGAAAATTTAATTTTGCTTATTTCAAGCAAGTAACTACTTTGTTTCCCTCCAATTGGTTTGCATGTTTGATTTTTAAGATTATAATAAGCACTTGTCAATTAAAAACCCTGTGTTCTTATTGTGGTTAGCAGTGCTTCACTGAATTTATCCACTCCCCCCTGATGATGGAAATTATGTTCATCCTGGTAAGACCTCTTCTATTTGAAACTTTTCTATTCTGGATATGCAACCATATAAAAAGATCTCAATGAATATTCTTTTTAAAAAATGGCTCTGTTATGAATTATTTCAGCATTTTTGCTCTTTGTGCAGGCTGATTGGACATTTTAATGCCCATTGTAAAGACAAGTTTTCCTCCAAAAAGGATGGACCTCCTAAATGAGTCAAGAAGGGGCTTACCGTCCCAATTTTAAGTATAATGAAGGAAATCCAACCCCATGAGGAGCAGGAAAATGCTAATAAAAATGGAATTGGGTATAAAGATCCTTTGTCTATAATTGTTGCTTTGGATTCTGTTATGCCACCCCGTTTTACTGATGTTACTATGAATTGAATATCCATAAGTGTGTAGTTGCCTTCCATTCTTCTCAAATTGTAGGCCCTACCTATAATATTGCTTCTACAGAAAGAAATAATGACACCTTCACTTATCTTTTAATAGCTAAACTATTGGAATTGTGCAAGGGATCGACGAAGGAAGCGTAGGGAGTGTTATTGAGCTGCTTGGCAGTGTTCAGTTAGAAGAAATTATTACTTTGATGAAATGCTCCAAGGTAAACTTAGGTGCTGCCATCAGGTATTAGGAACCACTGCATTTGTAATAGTAGAATTGATCAGTTGTTGTAGAAGTTCCTTAAAAATAACATGTTGGATGGAGCTAAAACTGCATGATTTTCTTGTGAAGATTCCTTTTAATTAATTTCTCTGTCGATCTATATATCCTTATCTTTTGGGATTATTTGTACCTCTCTTTGTGATATCAAAATTTCTTAGTGGTCCTACATGCAATTTTACTTCTACAAAAAGAAATGATGACACCTTTTCGGATCTTTCAGTTGCTAAACTATTGGAATTGCAGCCAAATGGTGAGAATTCACAAGAAGTCCATTTTGCACAAACCAATTTGTTTAAAAGCAAGGAGCCCTCAGATGACAGACTAGACTTGTGCCATTCATGATGATGTGCTAATTTGTGAAAATGAAATGTTGACTTGCAATAGAGCTAGTCTGCTACAAGGGAAAAGCTTAGCTATACATAAGAAGTTGGTGGATCTGAACTCTTCATATAGCTTTGGATGAGATCTATCAGTACCTTTGAAGATCCATTATGCAAGGATCTTGCCAGTACATAAAAATTAGTAGACACTTCTGTTTTATAATTAAGTATTCATGGAATTTTAGTCTACTTTGTAAAATTAAACTCATGTACTATATTTGTTGATTAGAATGATAATTTAAATGATGATTTAAAGGCTTGTTATATTTGTTAGAAGATAATGATTGTGTTCTAATAGCGAATAGAGGACATGAATTTAAAAGTATCAATATGTCATCTTAATAATTTAAGACTATTATCATATTTTTTTAAGAAAAACATATAGTGTCCTAAAATAAAAAAGAGGACACATGTTAGATAGTATGAGGATACATTTTAGGTGTCTTCTTATTGATATAAGGACACCTTTGGAAGAAATTTTGGTGTGTCCTTGTAAAGAAAATAGGACACATTTTATGTGTCCTTGTTTTACACTTATAATGACTCCTAAATAGAGGACACATTGGTTAAGTGTCCTTGTATATAATAGATGACTTTTTTTATGTGTCCTTGTATCTTTTGTTTCTTGTAGTGAAATATCAAAGGTGTCATGCAATAAAGAATTAGTCTTGTTCATTTGGCACAAAATTTAAAATGGGACAATTTACCTCAAACAATCTTTCCTTTCATTTTATTGTGCAAAATAAACCTTTTCTAATAAAACCGTTAGATGACCATTACCTCCCTAACGGCGACCCAAAACTTGCACACACGCGAAAAGGTGTGTTATTAACTTATTAGTTACTACATGTAACAGTAAAAGTTGAATTATTCTTGGAAGACCATGAAAATGTGGGATTATTCGAGATAATTTTCCTTTTTATATTTGCACAAGGCCTTCAAGGCTTCAACCTTTAACACATGAACACTACTTTATAATAGAAAGTATTATCTATCCTTGAATCAAAAAAATTATTATTTAAATTAATTCCCTAGAACCTCTTAATACTTTACTCTTCACAACTACAGGGTAAGTTCAATGATGAGTTAGAATGTTACTACGAGAGACATCTTAAAGAGAAGTGGTAGTTGAGGCTTTTATTTGATGCCACTAGATATATGTGTAGAGTCCACTTCAAAATGGAATCCATGTTTCAAATTATTTTTCTGCTTCTTCGTTGCATATCTTCAATCAACTTACATTGTCGATTTCAGATTTCTTTTTAATCGAACTACATTTTCTCCTGATGGTAGAGTCACTTGATGCTAAGATTGAATTTTAATGAGTGTGTGCGCGTGTGTGTGTTTGTGTTGTTGCACTGATGGTGGAGACACTACATTTTAGCAAAGGCATGTCTTCACTTTAATTATCATTGATGATGTAAATTTGTAACATATCACGTCAAACAAGAACAATGATGGATATTTTTATCCAAAATTAAATTTTTCTAACATATTTATTTGCATTATCATTTAATTGAGTGACTTTTTAATACTTCAAGTTTTCCAACATTTTCCAACTCCTTCCAGGGCCTATATCGGTTCCTTTTGCACATGATCTTTTTGTTACACGGTGATTAATCCTAATACTCATAGTTTATTGCCAATGGTTATTGCTTTATATATAAGATTTGTGTTATTTCTTGGAATATGATCTTGAATTACAGAATGGTTCTAGAGCCTGTGGGTGACACTGCGGTGCCACTGCCTTCTTGGGGAAAATATGGTGCTCCATTCGCCAAATAGATATTTTCTACTCCTAAGTCCTAAGCTCCTGGTAAACCCCCCACAGCTGCCTGCCTGACATGAACCCACCCCCAACTCCATCAATTTCATCTCCCAAATTTAGTTAACTTTGGGATCAAATTTTCGACCCGTAGAGGTGGGAGGGTTTACCGAGGGTTTGGGGGAGTAGAAACCATCAATTTTGTGAATGGGGCACCGTAGAAGCCCTAATTAGAGCCAGAATCATTCGAAGCCACTAAGAGTAAGTGGTTCTAGAACCCCTACGCCTAAATTAATATTAAACTTTTGTTAGTAAGTTTCATAAGAGTTTCTTTGCATGTAATCAACTTCGTACGAGTAGATATTTACCTATATGTGATAAAGTACAGAATTGATCTTGGAGCAACATGGATAAAAATGTTCCATTTTAATCTGTGGTAAACAACAACATTACCCCAATTCCTCAAAGGCATCTGTCCATTGCAAGTCAAGGGGGGTTGGATGTAAGGAGTATGAACCATATATGTGAAACATAAAGCAGCTGTTTTTCATGAAACATGATGAACGTCAAAGGTTACATTGAGTAACCGACTTACTTTACTATAAAAGAAGCGCATACAGTTTAAAGCTACTTTGCTTTATTCCATCAAACCCCAAAGCCAAAAGACTAACTAAACCTTCGGCTCCAGATGATGGAAAATTTTTAATCCGTAGTAAATGTATAAAAATGGTTTTATGTCAAAATTTGTTCCCAGAAAAGTTGCCTATGCATTATGTGAAAAACTTAATTTGTAGCTAACAATAAGTACTCCGTACCATAAAAAATTGCTCGTTTAACTACCACAAAATTAATAGAAATGTTGAGAAGTGAAAAATTATGAGCCGCATGTTCATTACCAAAGAGGTAAAATGGAAGTCCAAAACAAAAAAGTAATTAAGTTTTTTTTTCAAAGGAAGTCAACATTTTATCTAAGAATCATGGGGGCAGCATACTTAGTGGTTGTCTCTTTGTGCTTATAAGCTAGTCAAAATTGTTTATAACATGTTTTTAACGTATAAGAATCATGAATATCCCAAAATGACTTATTATCAATTGTCATTTTATCTCCACAAAATAATATTTAACTTATAAGCAACTTATAACTTAAAAACTATTTATATGCAATATATCAATAAGCCCCAATACAAAGAAACACTTCCTTTAATGTGGTGGAATAAGTACTTTGTACCATGTAGCATTTTAAGTTTTAACCTTTTTCTAAGTGCACTTGTGGCAAAATGAGGTACCAAGAAAAGCCAAAAGTGTCTTGAAGTCTAATTTAACCATAAAGCAACATGTCTAATTAAACCATAAAGCAACATAAAGATTGAATATGAAGGGAAGAAGCTACCTCTAGAGCTAGAGAGTACCGCCCATCTTTACGAAGTCTCCTAAGGATCCTCTTAAGGCCGCCCTCCAAAAGTCCTTTCTCACGTTTCACCCTAAAGTCTAGCAAAGACTTGACATCAAACCTTTCATCACGAATGAAAAGATGAGTAATCAACCACCACAAGGTCTCCATCCGTTCATTGGCTCGCTTTCATTGTATGAGAAAGTAGAATATTAATTTTATGGCAACATAGATTTAAAAAAGTCCCATCTTACCCCAGTAATATATGTAGAGTGATAGTGTGAAGTGGCGTAGGGGGCCTCAGGCCCTACTTAGCCAATGTTCTCTTCACCTGATCTGATAGGAATAAGTTCTGATGTGATCTGATCCGATCCGATTCCAATAAGAATAAATAATAAGTAAAAAAATAAGTTGGGAAGAACATGGCCTTAGTGGACTGACAATGACAAAGATTCATTTCACATAGTGAAACTCATTTGACCATATGGTACGACCAACGTACGAAGTTGCTCTGAATGAGTTAAACGTATCCTAAATTACTCGTTCGAGTTTGACTTCATGGAATTCAATAAAGTGTTGAAAAGTAAAAAATGAATGGTCAAAATTTGATTAAAAGAAAGAGAAGATTATGGACAACATATTTGTTACTTTATTAGGAAAGTATATAAGTGAAAGTGTAGAAGTGAGATGATTTTTTGAGGATGAACTAAAAAAAGTGTGGCAATTAATTCAGGATGGGGGGAAGTATATGCTTTCATTACATTATTTCTTTCTTCCCAGCATAAATCTCAATCATATAATTTTCCCTTTTTTTAATTTTCGTGAAAACAAATACCAAGATAGATGATTGTCTTCCCCGCAAAACAACTTACTAAATGGCTTCTTCGACTATCACCAAATTTAACACTCCCAACATCCCATAAAATCTTCCATTCTTTCATTTTATGTCCGTCCATGAAAAAATCACTTTTCTATTAAGGAAAAGAACATATGATTGAAAAACTTTCGCTATTCTTATCAAATTTTAATCACTTAGAACAATGTACAAAATCACATCGTTTTTAAATTGATTTTATTTACAGATTAGTATAAAAATACAAAGTAGTACAAATTACACCATTCAAAACTATACCAAAAGTTCTACAAAACAAGACGTGACAAGAATATTTTATTTTATCAAATCGTCAATAAACATGATTTTATTTTAAGAAATGGTCGAGAGCCAGAATAGTAAATGTAACATGATTTCTAGGACGGAGGAAGTATTCCAAGTATTTCCAACTATAAGTTTTGTAGCAAAAAGGTACCCATAGGGGCAAAACCAAAATTTGTCTTTTTTTATGTTTTTTACCACATAATTTCTTACTTGTTCAGTTAAACTCAATATAATACTCCCTCCGTTCACAAATAAACTTTACATTACGCGTTACGATGTTTGACTGAAGTTATTTTCAAATCATTTTATATGAAAAATGGCGTAGAATTGAAAAATAAAAATTACATATTAAAAAACTATATCAAAAGATCTACAAAACTAGAGGTGACATGACTATATTATTTTATCAAATTGGTGACGAAAATAGGCCAACAAAGTGAATAAAGTTTGACTCTGTGAATAGTGAACGTAAAGTTTATTTGTAGACGGAGGGAGTAATACTTTCACTTCAAATTTATTTTTTATTTTTATTATATAATAATACCTTAAATAAGTATATTACTTGTATACTTCGTATTATTCATATAAAGACATTGGAAAAGTCAGTATTAGAGGAAGGGAAAATGTTGTTTTAATTTTTCCATGAAACATATACGGAGTATTTAAACAAAATTATTTTCATAATGATATAATTGGATACCTAGCCCATACATCCTATCCACTAATATTTCTAAAACCCCACTACATTCAATCAAGTGTGCCCAATTGGGTTGACATTACCATCAAAATTTTGACCAAAATGTCAATCCAAATGGGCTAGGATGGGAGTTAGGCCATATTCTTTTCAACTTATATTTTTACAATTAAAATTTATTTCAATCAGGTGAAAAAAAGAACACAGCCTTAAACCACATATCAGCATGACAGCATCAAATAGAACATAAGCTACCTTGTGAGATTGATATAACTGTTTTTCATCCTCGTCCTCTTCATCGTCATCGTCCTCGTCCTCGTCCATGGTCCAGTTGAAGTCTACCACCGAAGCCTGCTTCTCCTGATCTATAACCCCATCGTCTAGCGCAGACTTGGCGTAGATCTTGTGATTAGCTACTAGACTAATGGTCGATCCCACTGGCCTGGAGATGTTTGTAATCGTAGTATGGCAGTAGCGATTCCAGCCCCGTCGCAGCGCTGCCGGCTGCAAACGCCGCAGCCCTAAGCCCAGACGGTTGAGTAAACCCATCATAATAATCAATTGCGATCTTTAGGTGGTATCTCAAAAGTCAAAACTATGCCATATTTATAAGTCGAATTAAGCTAGGGGTAGGGGTGGGTACCCAAGTACACCAAGTCAACACAGACACACATAAATACAAAGTGTCTGTGTTGCATAGATATTTTGTATCTGTGTGTGTCTATTTTGGCTTGGTGTACACTTGGGGTACCCCATGTTGGTGTACTCATAGTATTGCCCTTATAAATCTCATCTGAACCCTCAAAAAAACAAAATAAAAATTTAAACCCAGACCCGTAGTACTCCATATTTAGGCCTCGTTCCGTTCAACTTATTTTTTCTTATTTTTTTTATTCTTATTAAAATCAGATCAGATCAAATCAGATCAGATCAGATCAGGACTTACTAAAATCAGATCTCATCAAGAATTATTATCATTATTATTATTATTATTATTATTATTACTATTATTATTATTATTGTTATTCTTAAAAATGAAAAAGAATAAACTTTAGAAATAGGTTAAATAGAAAAACTAAGAAAGTAATCATTAATTATTAGACGTTGGAAAAATTAGTTTTAAAACACATTAACAATGTCAATCTAATTCTACTTTTAAAATATATTTTTATTGCTACTTGTAATTTGAGTTTCTAAAGTTTTGATCTTTTATAAGGATGAGATATTTTAATAAAAATACTATCTCTTCTATATATTGATTATCTAAATTTAATTACTTTTTAATGTATATCTAAGTTAAATATTTATTCTAATGTATATATGATGTAAGTATTAAAATATTAAATTAATATTCTAATTTCATAAAAAATAATCATAAAATAAAAAATATTATTACATTATAATATGAATGATTATTCTAATATATGAATTAATTATTTTTACTCCCTCCGTCATATATCTTTCTTGCCGTTACACAAAACGAAGAAAAATTCCAAGTTTTTTCAATCTATTTTATTTAAATATTGGCATAGAAATAAAAAAATAAAATAAACATATTTCAAAACTACATCAAAAGTTCAACAAAACAAGTGGTGACAAGAATATTTTATTTTATAATATAGGCCATGAAAAAACACAAATAAATATAAATTCCCGTGAAATTGGAATAGTGCTCTGAGAAGAAAGTTTTAGGACGGAGGGAGTATTTTATTAAAAAATAATAATTAAATAAAAAATATTGATTATATTATAATATGAATTATTATTACAATTTTCAAACGTTATTATAAAGTCAAATCAAATTACTGATTTGAAATTTTAAATTAAATCATAATTAATCAGATCAGATCCAATCAGATCAGATCAGATCAAAACTTATTAAAATCAGATCAGATCAGAAAAAAGTTGAACGGAACGGAGCCTTAGTAGACCTCACAAAAAATTATCCAAACCTGTTTTTTACTCAAGACCTGACCTGAAATATTGGATTTTAAATAAAGATTTTACTGACCAAACATGATATTGATCGAACCCAAAATTGCCCATTAAAAATGAGTCAAACCCGACCGAACCTGAGCTAACCGACCCGCTAATGTAAGAATTTTTCAAAACTATGTGCTTTAAAACAATTGTTTTTTCATATATTTTAGATAAGATCCGTCAAAGACTTTCACTATGGAAGAGGAAGACGCTTTCTAAGGCAGGTAAGGAGGTTTTACTCAAGACGATTGCACAGTCGATGCCCCAGTTTGCCATGAGTGTTTTCCTTCTCCCCCAATCTACTTGCACTGATATTGAGAGGTTAATGAACGGCTTTTGGTGGGACGGTAAGGGAACTAACAATCGTGGCATTCGTTGGATGTCGTGGGAACGAATGACTATCCCAAAGAAGTTTGGGGGATTGGGCTTTCGGAACATTCGAATGTTCAATGTTGCTATGTTGGGTAAACAAGGCTGGCGCTTTCTGACCAAACCCAACTCGCTAGTGGCGAGAGTTTTCAAGGCCCGATACTTTCCCAACAACTCGTTTTTGGAGGCCGAATTGGGGAGACAGCCCAGCTACTGTTGGAAAAGTATTCTTTCAGCCCAAGAAATTCTTCGAAGCGGTATTCGACGTCGTATTGGCGATGGACGAGAAACACATCTTTGGGGTACTCCCTGGCTCCTTGAAGAAGTTAATCCTTACCCAAGCATGGTCAGATGCGTGGAGAATGAAGACCCCTTAATGGCTGATTTAATTGACTTTGATTTAAATTCTTGGAATGTAGAAAAGCTGGAACAATACTTTGACGCTGGTGAAGTGCTGCAAATTCGCAGGGTTCCTGTCAATACTAGAAGTTCCGATGGATGGTTCTGGATTAGGGACTTCCGTGGGGCTTATACGGTGAAAAGTGCTTACAGATGTTTGATGGGAGATGCTTCTGTCGTGTCCTCTTTTTCAAACTGGGGAAGATTTTGGCGGATTCCGGTGGCCCCGAAAGTTCTCGTTTGCTTATGGAGGACCATTCGAGGTATCTTGCCCACGCGGGATGCTCTCATTTCTAAGAGAGTGGAGGTGGATGGGGGCTGCCCTCTCTGTGGAGGAGCTCTCGAAACAGTTGATCATATTTTTTTGTTTTGTCCTTTTGCAGATTCGGTTTGGAGGCTCATGGGCAAAGGAGGTAATATAATCTCTTTTATCTCTTTCCAAAACTGGTTCCAAGTTCGGTGTCAGAATGACACTTTATTGGAGCTGCGTACCGTCGCTTTGACTTGCTGGGCAATTTGGAAAGCACGTAACAGTGCCATTTGGGATCATAAGACACTGCATCCAGGAGAGCTCAAGAATATGGTGTTGTCCATGGAAGCCCAATGGTCAAACAAGACTGTTGCAGAGCGGGAGCGTACTCCACAGCGACACGAGGTAAGTTTGCGGGCAGAGGCATACAGGTGTTTTTTTGATGCTGCGACATCAATTTCGGAGGAGTCCATCTCCTTCGGCTGTGTCCTTTTTTATCCAGGAGGTGCCTTTGTGGCAGCGGCAAATGGAGGAAAACTTGGGCCTCTAGATCCTCTTTTGGCGGAAGCTCTCGCTTGCAAGGAAACATTGTAACACCCCAACCCGCATGACCCAAACCCGTGAGACAGCGGACCGGTGTGCTACTGAATTGGTATCCAAATTTGCGACATTTTCAAAACAAATTTTAAACAAACGTTCTATCAATACATATAAAAATTCATCGGAGTAATTTAAAATAATGCGGAAGCCTTTTTAAAGTCAAACAACTTGGGATCTTGCCCGAAAACGTAATAAGCATTAAAGTTAATCAAATAAAACATAATCAACAGATTAAAGAGATAGCCACGCCATCGTACATCTCCTCCTCAATGCCCTCTGGGATCGGCTCTAGGTTCATCTGTCTGATCACCTACGGACAGCAAAAGAAAACAACGCTATCCGCTCAGCATTGACGCTGAGTGGTACTCTATTGTAGCACAAGAATAAATATAATAATTCAACAATTAAGATCGTGCATATGTTTATCCTTTTAATAAAAATCAATTCAACTTTACACTTGGTTCTTTAGACGGTT